AATATCCAGTACAGCTGCTCATTCATCCTCAGCAAGAATTCAACAAATTCCCTTAGTCGTATTTTATCCACATCACCCAATTTGCAATCCCGATATCGATATTAACTAGAGATGAATAAATCAAAACAATCATCAGTAAGCAGTTTTTGGCTAGAGAACAGTTCAGACCTTAGACATTCAATCGTCTGAGATTTCTCCAACCCATCTTGTTTAGAGAGTTTGACGCTACTCTCAAGAATGGATGTTCTAGTCTTTGCAGTATCCAGTTCATTCTCCTTTTGATAAGTAAGAGGAGGAGGCATGTTCCATCAACAGTCTATTTGCTTTGGTCAGTTTTTGAACCTCACTGTGAAGCTTCTTCATAGCCTCAGAAGCTTGTGCACATTTCTCCATAACAAGCAAATGAACTGGATCAATACACATGTTCCGATTGGCTTCATCCTCTGATGTTTCAGATTCTTCCATGCTCTCTTCAAATTTTGTTGTGACATGAGAGGTGGTGAGACACATGAACTTTCTCACTGAGGAATGAATTGCCATATTACTCGTGTGTGATGAAGGTTCTTCTGATCCCTCGTCATCTGAGTCTTCCCACGTTGCCTTCAGTGACTTGCTCTTCTTTTTAAGATTAGCACACTCGTATTGAAAATGACCAAATCCACGACATTCTCGGCATTGGTCCTTTTCGATTCTTTGTGAATCCGGTTTTGAGAAGGACGCATTATTCTTTTTGTCAAGCAACCAGTTCTTGCTGGAATTAGTGAACTTTTTCCCGACAAACCTATTCTTATACAGTTTCTTACTCATCTTGCCGTAGTTCCTTGCAATCAGTGCAAGAGCCTGTTTCAACTCATTATCGTCCACCATAGAACCTTCATCCTCATCGCTGTCTTTTTTCTCCTCGACTACAACAACTTTGAGAGCAAGTCCCTTGTTTTTTACTTTAACATAATTGTTGTTGATTTCGAACGTTCTCAGATCACCGAGAAGTTCATCCACATCTAGAGGCACAATTCGTTGAAAGCTCTCAAGAGCAGTAATTTTCTCTCTGAATCTAGGTGCAACAGTCCGCATAATCTTTTGAACTTGACGATTTTCAGAGATCTCTTCTCCTAGCATCCCACTTTGATTTACCAGATCACAAAATCTGGCATAGTACATATCGATCGTTTCTTCATCCTTCATTCTGATTTCATCAAATTCAAGGGTTACGCGTTGAAGTCTAGATGCTTTGACTACCGTTGAACCTTCAAACTGACGTTGTAAGATCCGGCAAGCATCTTTCGCTGTCTTGCATTGAACTATCATCTTGTGTCTAGTCTGATTGACTGCCTTCATGATCGCATATAGAGCTCGATAGTTCGCTTCTTCTTGCAATTGTTCAGCTTCAGTCCAGATGTCTTTCGATTTAGGTACAGTAGCATATGAAGATTCCTTATCTTGGTCTGGAACAGCCGCCATGATTGGATGTTCCCAGCCATTTTCAACACTTTCCCAAGCACCTTTTCCTAGAGATCTTAGAAAGATTTTCATCAGTGATTTCCAGTAGGAATAGTTTGATCCATTCAATTGCGGAGGCCTAGACATCGATCCACTTTTCTGATTCATGATTGCCCAATCCACACGTCCTTAGATCTTTCGAGAAACATACAAAAACCCGTTCTGGTGCCAATTGAAGTTTGATACTCGTACACAAGTACCCAGAGTTGTACACTAAACAATATTTAAAGTAGATTCAAACAGATTGCAGAAGTCGTATAACAAAACTTGAACCTTCAGGAGAGCATCCCACTCTCCCTTCGGATCTCTTTCATTAATGCATACAACAGAAACATTCTTCAAGGGTTTACAGTATAGGCTCCCTCTACACTCTACTTGAACAATGATTTGTACTATTACTTATCCGACCACAAATCCCTTGTGGTTTTTCTAGTTTGAATCCCTGAAACTAAAACAGAATGAACCTCCGTCCACTTTGTGTTTTCTCTCACTAAATTCCTCCACACTTTTGATTATCTCTCAATGTAAAATACAAATCACTCCATAACTCAGTAATCTCAGATTAACTCGTCAAAAGATTAAAAATCAAGAGGCCTCCTCAATGCACATCTCGTCGTCCTTTTATCTTCATCCTTGTATGGTAAGTTCTTCATCAAACTTCGCTGCCGAGTCATGGCGTATTTTGGAAGGTCCAGATCACACAATCGAATCTCGCGCATATGGAAAGTGAGCGCGCATGGAAAGTAATCTTATGGAGGGTGATTCCCGATTCCCTTTAATTAGGCCTTTCATAATAAAACATGTATAAGTATTAACCAATAAACGAAGTAATAAAACTAATCCAAGTAACTTAAAATACACTTCCCTTAAATATCTTTGTGAGGCCTGAAGCTGAGAGCCGATGAAGGTTCGTCGATTTACTGCCAAACCTCCGAACTTACACACATCGAACATAATAGTTGATAATAACGATCATCTTCATTGATATTGACAATTACATGAATTACATGAATCAATAATGAAAAAACATGAGACAGTTTATATGCAACCTCCTCCTCCCCTGGCTACCAGCTAGCGGATAAAACTCTCCTTTCTTCGTAAATCTCTCTATGGATTGAAACACACGATTAATTGAATAAGTCACTTGATTATCAACTTTCACCCAAGCTTCTTTTAGATTTTGCTTCAGATATGGTCTAAGCCATAAGTCAGGGACCAGGAAGACACTATAGCAGGAACCTCGCTATCCAATTAAGCCAGTTACTCAAATACATATAGGTCGGCTTATGACGGGAGACACAACAAGTAGGTGCGAAGCTAGTTCCCGAGTAAGTAGCTAAAGCAAGAGTGCAACCAAGCAAGCGATTGTCGACCCGATAGTACGTATATTAGGAACGTCCAGTGACCAATGCAGACTATCAAGAGCGAAATGACTGAACTCCAACCTTCTTATGCATAATATTTCTTCAAGTTGATAATGGTCCATGACCTCGGTAATGGTCTCCCCTCAGCATCCTTCAAGGAATAAGCTCCTCCGGCATGGACACATTTGACCACGCATGCCCTAGTGTATCGACCAACATAGCTTGTCAAAGTCTCTCTGTTTTCTTGCTACATAGCCATCAGTGTGAGGTAGGTTTTCTTGTGCGACCTCACACTGTTAAACTGATTAAGGAACATATTTGCAAACTTCTCGAAGTCCCTGATCGACCCCGGGTGAGATGGTAGAACCAATCTTGCGCTCCTCCCCATAAGGTCACTAGAAATGATAGACAACTCACCCCGTTCGAGTACCCATGCAGAACAACTATATTCTCAAAGGACCTCAAGTGTCGAGTTGGGTCTGTAGACCCATCATATGTGATGCTAAGCTCTCTGAACCTATTTGACGAGTCGACATCTAGGATCCTCTATGCAAACAGGCGACCTCGAGCTCTCCCCGACTTCTTCTCTTCCACCTTGGTCTGCAGCTCCTTCAGTTGTTTGACCATTCTTTCCACCATGAGATCACGACCTGCCCCTCCACTAAAGCTTCTCAAAATTTTGACCTCCGTGCCATTTTTTGTTGTTGAGGTAACAGTAACCGCATTGGACATTTGTTGCTGAGTGCACCCAGTTGCACTGCATTTGGCGATCATCTTGCTCAGCTCCTCCTTTGTTAGAGTGACGAGATGTTGACCTGCTAGCTCCACATTGCTCCTCGGTGGTCCCATCGGCAAGACGACAGTTAGATCAAACTGCATCTGGGGTGGAACCACGACCTCTTGGCTCGATCTGACCTCCGCTCAGTTGCTCTTGTCTGCTGCTGCATCAGGGACCGTTGATGAGCTCCCTAAGCCCATAGGGTTAGGCGTTAGGGTCATCAGGGTTTGAGACGGCTCGGAGAAACCTGAGGGGTGGTCTTGCTCCCAGCAGATGTGTGGTGGTCCACAAATAATCATCGAAAGTGTGATCTAAGTTCTTTCTGGGAGCTTCGTTCGCCATGGCTATGGTGATTGATGGATTTTTTAACGTACTTCCCATAAACGACGCCAAAATGATGTGTAAATACCTCGATATGCTTTGCACGACCATGATATGCTTTCTGACCTACTCATAGAGCTGTAAAATGGACCGGGAGGGAATTCCAGCGTTAGCACTCCGATGATCATGTCAGTCTACAGATGAAGGCGATGAATAGTGTATGTAAAGCTTTGTAAGTATATAAAATTATGTAGAGTTTGTATTGCCATACCTCACCCCTTTATATATGGGTGGTGTCTTGTTGCCCAAGCATGCTCGGATGAGCTGCCCATCCACACTACCCGGGTGCCCGAGCTGCCCAATTATGTTAGGCCACGTGGTCTAATCCCCCGTGTGGTTCTTATCCTAATAATATTCTTTCTTATATCTTAGTCTTCTTTATCAGACAGTCTAATCATGTGACTAATTTGATTCTTCTCAAGGTAGAACGTCTTCTCTACTGAGCTCACACTCTCAGTCAGGTCGATCCATCTGCCTTAATACCTTCAGGTCGAGTTTCCAATTAGCCTTTTGAGTCCCTAGCTCGACCTATTGGTAATCCGTATTGACGACGCTACCTTCGACCTGATGACTCTTCGACTTCTCCAACCTTCAGCCTCTGATCGACCTGGTGGTTTATCCAATTCAATCAGTCCGCTTCTCGGGTCGACTCGACTCGATATGGTATCTCATATCAATATATATTTTATGATTTTTCATTGACTTACATTTATATTATTGTCTGAGTTCAAGTTAGGTCATAATCAAATTTAAAAGAAATCACATAATATTATATGCACTCCTCCANAAAAGACAAAAAAAAAAAAACTCATTAAAATATCAAAATGCATTAATCGGTCATATTAAAAGTAATTATCATATAACTATTTTATTCATTTTTAATTCAAATAGACATTAATTTTTCTATAAACAAACATCATTACTATTTTATATTCCATTAAAAATTCAATAAAGTTCATTTTGAATGGATAACCAACATCAATAAAAATATCAAGAAACAAATGGACTTTTTGAAATGTACTGCTGTTGAAGCGAGAGGCACAACACAAATCATGGTCGCGACCGGAAAAGAATTCGCGGAAAGGCAGCTACTTGTTCGAAAACTACGTACAAGGAATCAAACCAACTGTACAACATTTGTTGATCTTTCTCTCGCCAAACCAAATACAGACCGATACATATATGTGTGCTTCATTCTTCGGATTACCACCGTCGACCAGCCACACCCTCCTCGCCACCAAATCAACCTCAATACCTATGGCCACGTCACCGTCGGCGTACCAGAAACTTCTATCCGTCGGCACCAAAATCGTCGCCGTCGGCCGGAATTACGCCGCGCACGCGAAAGAACTCGGAAACGCCGTACCTAAGGTATTCCCTTCGCTTTCTTCATTTGTATTCAAAACCTATAGAACTGTATAATCCAATCTGCTTCGATTTGAATTTGATCGATTTTCCCCGCTTATCCAAAGGAACCTGTGCTTTTTCTGAAGCCTACATCGTCGTATTTGGAAAACGGCGGGACGATTGAGGTGCCAGAGCCGCTAGATTCGCTGGATCACGAGGTTGAGCTGGCGGTGGTCATTGGTCAACGAGCCCGTGACGTGCCAGAAGCCAAGGCCATGGATTACGTTGGAGGTATGTTACATACATTATACATACATAAAACATTTACATGAATTAAGCAGAGGACTTGATCGCAATTTTTGGCAGTGTGAATATGACTAGTGGGGTGGCATTCTTGTTCTGTATAGTGTTACATGTAGTTTAGTGGGGTTCCGAAGAAAGGATATTATGCGCTTGTCTTTTCCGCTGCAACACAGGTTTAGACCTTCGATGAGGAATCCGTTAGCCAATTAACATTGACTCAGTTTTGGTCTCCTTAGCTTAAACCCAAGCATCGTATATAACAATTGTTCTCCATGTGTTTTGTGTACAAAGCAAAGTTCATGTCTTGTCCAAATCTTGCAAGTTTTCATTGCAAATGGCCTGGATACATGTGGTGATCTTCCCATTAGCTTGAAAGTTGGATTGTTGATGGATGGATCGAGACCATGTTTTAGGCAATTATGTCAACAATTTAGGCAGTTGATTGATCGTAACATACATGCATTTTTCTGAATTATTATGCTAGTTATGGCATGTGTGGTAATGGTATGTTGTTGTCCAATCCCGGTATATTGCAGTGTTTTCAGACATTATTGAACTTTAACCAATTGCATGCGCTGCAAATCGGGTAATTGCTTTTCTTGTATTATGATACTTGGTGCATTTCAACAAATTCTGACGTTCTTATGAAAGGAAAAAGAAAGCTTTTCATGAAAGGAAAAAGAAAGCTTTTCATGAAAGGAAAAAGAAAAGCCATTGTTGTGCACTCGCTGTAATACTTCAGGCACTATATAGTTCTCATCTTTCTCACTTTATCCTTGAAGGTCGAACTTTTGAATTTCTCATCGACTCATTTGAACACTCTTGTTTCCAGGTTACGCTCTTGCTTTGGACATGACTGCTAGGGAAATCCAATCTACTGCTAAGGTTTGTGTAATTCGAACGGATAACAGTGTTTATTCAGCTTAGAGTTGTACTTTCATGGTCTCATCTTATGGATCAAAGTGAATGATGCATCTTTGCTTTTGGTGGGGCATCATTGATTTTCTCCCTTTTTTTTATTTTTTATTTTTATTTGATCTTTGTAGTCTTCTCACCATTTCTTTGAATTTTGTGTCAAAAGTCGGCAGGTCTACCATGGTCTGTAGCTAAAGGCCAAGATACGTTCACGCCTATCAGCTCTGTTGTAAGAAATCAATCAATTTGCACATTTTTCCTTGATATATGGTGCTAAATATAATCGAATATAAACCTGATTGAAGATGAGTAGTGTCATTTTTACATTCATTGTGTTACTACCACCGTCCACAAAGAAAGCACATTTCCACTTTCGCAAATATCAAGAAATAGAAAATGATGCAGTTCTAACTTCTAACATTAACTTTTAAATATTAGTTTTACGACTACACCCTCCAATAGCTTTTGTCAGAACAAGATATTTAATGATTCAGTTGTGCCATAGTACATTCTTTAGGAGCATATACAAGGTTGAACAGAAAATGCACATTTCAAATCTGGAAAGTGTGCTAAATTTTGGAACAAAATAAAAGGGAAGTGCTGTGCTGCCTTTATGGATGGAAGTGGTACATATTTAGGTATAAGCATTCAACAAAAATAAAAAAATAAATTATAAAATAATAACATTAACTAAAGAGGGAGAAAAAAAAGAAAGAATTCATTCTGTTGCATATGAAGAATAGAAAACAACATTTTCTTTCTATAATATCTGATCAATGTAGTTTTAAACGAAGCTGCTTCATCTGTTGCCTCTCTCTCTCTCTCTCTCTCTCTCTTGGATTTGAACAAACTCAAGTATTTTACTTCGAAATATTCATGACAAAATTAGATATACTTTATCTTGAACGATGAACTGCCTCAAAGGACTATGGCAACTTAATAAGACATTTGAGTTCGTCCGAATTCGCTTACTTATAAAGCATTCATTTCTTCTGAAGCACATAATTCTGTATCCTTTTTTACTTTTGAATCTACAGTTACCGAAGTCTAAGTTTCCAGACCCTCACAATGTAGAACTATGGTTAAAGGTACGGCTCATCTAGTTTAAAATCTTAAAAATGCTCCGCATTTTTGTTGCATGTGCTAATCCTTTCCCCTTATTAGGTTGATGGGGAAATACGGCAGAAGGGATCCACAAGTGATATGATATTTAAGATCCCATTCTTGATTAGCCACATAAGTTCTATCTTTACGCTACTTGAGGGTGATGTAATCCTCACAGGTAACAAATAAGACTTGCTCCCAGCTGTTTTTTGACATACTACTCCATTATTACCAGCTGTTTTTTGACATACCTACTCCATTATTAGTTTCAAATTTTAATGTTTTGATACAAAATTTGGAATTTGCCCTATATTTGAGTTATTTTTCCTGATACTTGCGGCAGTATTTTCTGGACCACCTGTCATTTGATGCTTGTTTTGCACAGCCTTTTTTCCCCCTATTCCTTTGTAGTTTTGGAGAGTAATGCAAAAAGTTATTTGAGAAAACGACATGGAACTTGTAGTTTTAGGGAGCATTGTTCTGAAAATCGGGATAGGGGCAAGTCCTATTAATCACTCGGACAATTAGGCTCCATCTAGGCGGTCCGAGTGGCTTCGGAATTAGTCACGCCTAGACTGATTAGGTAGTTTTGAAAAAACTATTGTTTAACCATATTATTTGTACGTTTTATATAATGTATCTTTTAAGTTATGCATGATGATAGGTGTAAATAAATTTAGGCTCTGTCTAATCCCTACCTAAGCGCTCTAGGCACTAAGTCTTCTACTGCCCAGTGAGCGCTAGCCTGTTTTAAAACATTGAGAGAGAGAGAGAGAGAGAGAGAGAGAGAGAGAGAGAGAGAGAGAGAGAGAGGGTACAATGACATTTTTTGTGATTTGAGTTTTGCTCTTCTCTTCTTGTTCTCGAAAGACTTTTTCTTGTTTTGTTTCCCTAGTGTGAAAACTATAATTTGATGCCGACAAATGTGAAATGTGTAAATAGTGCTAACTTCTTGAAAAAATTTCACCAACAATTGCACAATGAGGTGCAAAAAGAAAAACAAATATTTAATTTACATTTATGTGAATCTTTCCAACAACCAGTCAGCCATCCATGGTTTTTTTCCGACCTGTCAACCGTAAGGTCCGTAACTACCTTGTTGCAGGAAAAGGAAATGATATATAGTCTCTAGTAATTTTATCATCACCCTAAAAATTATGGTGTGCCACAAAGGCATACAGTCTCATTTGCATTACCTGGTGCACTTTTCTTCCATTTCGTGCAGGGACTCCACAAGGTGTTGGCCCAGTTAAGATGGGACAAAAAATCGAGGCTGGAATAACGGGACTTTTGGATGTGCACTTTGACGTTGAGAGACGCCACAGAGTGAGGCATTAACGAGCTAAGCACGTCCATTTCTATATAACATTCAAGGTTTAAGTATGCACATTCATAAGCAATAAAGCGCGCCAACTGATATTGAAGATCAAGTACAAGCGAAATTTCATTTGTTCAAGAAATTGATGTAATATCACAGCTGAAACTTTGATGGGCATTTTGTTACAAGGTGATACTTATAGATTTGGTACTATCAATCATGTCGTGCCCGATTCTTCTTTTTCCTTTAATAACGTAATTTATGCCGTGTACTCTAGATTTAAGGTTGTTACCAACCATACTTTTTATCATTATGGCATGTTTACGGAATAGGAAAGCATATGTATGTTATCTCGGATAAAAATAATCAATTAGTGTTCATGGAGGAGTATTGTCCTAGTTTCTGTCGTTTGCAAATAAAAGAAATGATCATTTACATACCTGCTACATATTTTGGAAATATTTGCATACGATTGGTTAATTTTATTAGCATCTTTACTGATTATCTACCAAATATTTAGGAAAATGCCTAACACGAGTTTCTTGTTATGCCCTTCGAGTTTGGCAGAGGTGGGAGGAGAGAGAAAGAGATGGTTGTGATTTTTGAGGAGAAATCCGCCGGAGAAGATGAAGGCGATGAGGAGGGAGAAACATGCCGATTAATTTCACAATAAGTTTCATCATCAATTACATTAAATCCGCATTATCCGTATATAGTACAATTATATAAAAACTTCACTTCTCGTATTTGTGCAAATAAAAGGATCAATTTTAGTTATTTTGCTAAATATTACATATGGGATGTATATCTGCAATAAAAATGATATAGGGAGGTTGACTAGGTAATTTTCTCTTTTTAATTCTCATCATTCGTTGTTTTTTTCTTTTTTCAAACATCGAATTCATTAAACTAAAACTCGAAATGTACAAGACGAGTAACCAAATGGTTACTACGTGACCATAAGCAAGCCAAGGCTCGATTATGATAACTAGGGGGAAGTCTCAACTCGAGCCAACCTGAGAGACCAAAGAGGCCTCAAACTACCAAACTACTACAGCTAAAAAAAGTCCACCACAGCACCAAAACAAAAACAAAAAAAACGAAAAACACAAAGCACAAGAGAAAAAGCTTGGAAAAAAAGAAAGAAGAGTACAAATGTCATCAACCAAAGCATTAGTGAGGAGACAACAAATTCAGCAGCATCTTATCAGCAAAGGATGTCCTCCACTGGTTGCTTCTGAGATGCATCCCTGGAGTTGATGCAATGTACAACCTCAGAGTTGACAATAAAAGCAGAGCCTTGCACTTTCCAATCCACTGAGTGAGAAGTAGAAACACTGACAGCTTGGTCAAGCTCGCCTATCCCTTGGTTCTCAGCACAAACAGCAGGAGAAGAGATTAGTGCAGCTTTATCCTTGTAAAGCCCTCTGCCAAACTTGATGTTGTCATACTTCAACCACTCAAGTTTTGCTTTTTCCACAAGTTACAGTTCTGAAGAGTTCTCCCCTTGAAATATCCAGGCATTCCTTGTTCTCTACAACCACCATAGGAGATAGGTGGAGAGAGAGATCCTATCACTATTATGACCATTGCTCTTTAGATTGCAAAGGTCCTGCCACCGTTGAGTGAAAGTAGAATTGGACACAGGAAGAAGCTACAATGGGTAGATGGAGGAGCTCGAAGAGGAAGAGAAATGGAGAAGAAGAGAAGTGGGATCCTAATTCATGGAATGGAGCCAAACTCTAGAAAGAGAGGGTTTTTTTCCAAAGGGGAAAACTTTCAATTCAGTTGTTGTCTTCTAGAAAATCAAATACACATAAAAAAATTAAATGTTTCATGGGTTAATTATATGACATATTATCTGGATGTTCGTGCTGGGTTTTGTTAGAATTTAAATGCAGCAGAATCCTAATGTCGTCCATAGTTTTTTTTTTTTTAACTCAAAATCCAATTCAACTAAACTATCCTAAGTATTATCAATATAACTAAATAATATCAATCAATCATCTTCATATATCACATTAACTTTAATTCACTATTCATCAAATAACATAATTATAGTTACTCATCACTTCCAATCACTTCTCTCCTACTTTCGCTTCACATCAACTTAATTCTTATATTTTAAATATTATTTAACTACAAACTCAAGATCTCACTCAAACCAAACTCTATCAACCTTTTTTAAAATTAACCCACTTTATACAATAAAACCAATTAAATCCAAAATAAATTTTATAGCCCTTAGAGTGAAGGAGAAAATGAGTGCTCTTAAAAGCCGATTACAAAGCTATATTGTTTAATTTCTTTTGATATTTATGATTTTACCTTTAACAAATAATAAATGTTGCTATTCGGTATAAGGTATCTTCTATATCCAATTGTAGAATGTCCCGATCATACGTGTCAACTCTTGGTGCTTCGTAATAATAAGTGTCAATATGGTTCTTTGTAATTTTATATGTCAATTTTTAGTGCTTTGGAGTAATCTGTGTAGATCTGAATTCTATGCATAGAACTTTTAAAATTGTAAGACACTTGACTAAAATTATAAATATAATTAAAAGTGAATAAATTTTGTATTTTTAATAGTTTTCATACATAATGATATAGCCCTCAAAAAGTAGGCCTTCTGAACTAGTGTGAAGTCTTAGCTCGGCAATGGTCGAGCTGGTTCGAAGACCATGTATATGGAAGCACAGAGGGTAGAAGGGGGGCCTCGAAACCCTCCGAGACCGAGGGCAATCTCAAGACCCTCCTGTTGGGATCTATGAGGATCTCGATAATATGCATGTCACGGATTATCTACGAATTAAACCCTAAGCAAAGCGGAACTAGAAGCGAGGGTTCAAAGCGTACTGTTTTTAATTTTTTTTCGGACTCACCGGATCGTTTCTCATTCATGTTGGACCGTCCCGGACTTTTCATGAACTCAAAGGAACTCCACGAACATTTCCCGAACCAGCTGGACCGCTTCTGGAGCGTCTGGACACGTTTGGGCCGAACTGAGGCGAGTTGGTACGTCTTGGATCACGCTGGGAAGGGTTGGACATGGAATGGCCCGCGACACCTGCTGCTGAGCCGCGAATTTGGGCCGCTGGAGGGATTGAAACACACACGGGATGCTTCGGGCCGGGGCTGTAAGGGCCGCGGGCCGCGCGCTATCTTCCTCCATCCATTGGGCTGCTCCGCTTTTGGGCCGCTTCCGCATTGGGCCTCGTTCGCTCATTGGGCCTTCTACATGCATTGCTGGACTCCAGAACACCTGGGCTGTGCGCGCGATGACTGGGCCTTGCGGACGCGGGCTTCTCCACGCGGACTGGACCTGCTGGTGATGTACCTGGGCCGATCCTTGCGGGCTGCGTGTGGAATTCCGCTAGGCCTGCTGGGGCTGCGCGTGACGGCGTGTGGGCCGCTGGCACCGGCGCGTCCTGTAACGCCTCGAATCAGTAATAATAGTAAGAACGGTTTCACTGCTCGACTATAAGTGAAATTCGTATTTTTCAGAAATATCTGAGTTATGTTTTATATGCTAAATGCTCAATTTTGTTGGAATATTCTTTGGAATTTTCTATGTCAAGTTAAGGCCAAGATCAATCCATTAATTTGGATTGATAAGCAAAATCTATTCGGCTTTAGAAATTATTGGCTTTGAACCCTAGTTTCATTCCGAGTCATTTTCCAAGTCCTTTCTGAGCATAGCCGAGCCTTGGTATTTTGATACTTAGAATATTTTCTAAGTGTAGTGAAATATCAAAGTTCAAGCCTAGACCTTACTCTCGAGCCCTAGCCTATGCACGAGCCGCTCGCGCCCAAGGCCCGAGCTGAGTCCGTGCCATGTCCAAGATTTTGTCCAAGCCCTTAACCAATGTTTTGGAAATTTTTCTGACCGCGCGTCGTTACACGACAAATTTATATTTATAAAATTTTCCTCGTCTAACCCCTACTAACTAGTAGTAGTGGCGAGCAAGGGTCGATCCCACAGGGAGTGTGGTATAAACAGTGAATTTATTATATTAATAGATTATAATAAAAATGGGAGAATTTGATTTATTATGAAACTACTAGCAAAACATGAAATAAACTAAAACTAAAAATAAATGAATTATATGCCAAAGATGATGAAACCGAAAATAAATAAAAATAATCTAGCAAAGATGAGAATTGAATCGGTTCCAGGTCGGTCTACACCCTCGAATAACTAGCCCAATTAATGCTTTTATCAAATTTTACTCGTCTTCTAAAACTACCGGTCCTAGATAGCAATAAGCTCTGCTACCCGAATTTTTTCTTAATTTATACTTAATCGAAATAGGCTCTTCAATTAATTCTAACTAGCGAATAACTCGGAATAAGCTCTCCTAATTTAACCCACTAGCCGCATTAAAATCTAGGAAAATAGACCGATCTAAGCCACAAACACATAAGCTCGGTTCATGTAACTTATGTTGTGCTATCCCTAACAATGCACGACTGTTAGTTGCTACAATTGAATTAAGAACTACGACAATTACGGATCGAAGCCTCAACTCAAGCAATTAACATGCAATTCCTAACTTAGGTGATCAAGCTAAATTAAAAATCACACATTATGACATGAAACTAGAATAACACAAACAATTTTATACGACGAGTAAAACAAAATAAATAGCATTAATCAAACATAATCATCGAGGGTTCAACGTCCCTAGAACCGAATAAATGTTTAGCTAAGCATAGCTAAATGATAAAAATAAAAATAATAATCCATAATGTTCAATCAAAATAAACCAAAGCAAATAAAACTAAATAAAACAAACTCCCTCAATGTCCACGGCTAAAGTGAATTCTCCGCAGCAATGGAATTTTTCTCCCTCTGTTCACGTACTCCCGAAAAAAAATAAAAATCGACCCAGCCTCTTTGCCTCTTAATTCGTCCTAAGTAATGTCACGCAGACTCCAAGCAAAATTGAGTGTCCCACTCCACTTAAATTCCTTTATCCTCCAAATTCGGTCAAGCAATTGAGAGTCCACTATAATTAAAATTCACTTGCCCAAGTAACCATTCCAAGAGTCTAGCAAGCAAAAAAAATAAATTCCATTTAACTTGGAACAACTCTCAAAATTTCGGCCACAACAACAATAAGGAATCCTCATCTTCATATTTTTTTTCTTTTGCTTTTAAATCCTTGGCCACGTTAAATTAAGTACATGTCATTTCCTAGATAGCTTCCACCTCACCAATGCCAAGTCATCATTGGGCATAATATCCAAAAAGGCTTAACCTGCAAAATAAACACAAATTTCGACTATTGGTGTATGTCCGTTCACAAAATAAAATACGTGAGAAAACTTATATAATACACTAAAATCAAATACTCCAATATATAAATTAAACACTAAAATAATACAAGATTTCTCACGTGTCATTTTCTAAGTCCAAAATTCCCCCAAGGACCAACATTTCTTTNCCAGCAGGCCGCGCCCAGGGCCAGCGCCCAGGCCC